GCAAAGCAAAACCTCAGATAAAGGGGAGCTACTGTACTGAGGGTAAATGTGATTAGTAACATTTTTCCTAGTGTTGTCTTCAAATCCTACTTACATTATTAATTTTACGCTCTGGTCCCCACATCATTACAGCAAGTAGTAAAAACCAAAAATGAAATTCAACAAAATAAGTTGTTGGCTTTCACTAAGCAACAAGTTTATTTAATGAATTTACCATATCTCAAAATTTTGTGACTTTGTGGAGAAACAACTAGAAGATATTCAGTTACAGAAAATTTTCACTGAAGAACTAAACAGAAAATAAGAGTTCAGTCAAAATATATAGTGATTGATTAAGCCAGGATTTAAGGAACTGGGACAATTGGCTTATTATATAGAAAACTCCCAGCTATTTGAGACCAGTTATATGGGACAAAGTGATCTAAAAATATAACCACATTGGTATTACACAGAACAATTAATAACATAAATATTCACATCAATTACTTAAAGATCTCTAATACATATGACCCTAGGTTTTCCCTCCTTAAAGAAAGGAAAACAAAAAAGTGGTAGCCTTTGAACAATGGAATTCAAATAGACACAGTTATAGCTTCAATTCACAATCAGGTTTGATATGCACATTTTATCCTAAAATAACTCAGCAGTCAAGATGAAAAAAAAAAAGTCATTACAGTGTAGTGTTTGAGTGAAAGGTCTTTAATGAGGCAAATCTTGGTTTAATCCCAGGTTCTGCCACTTTTTATTTGTGTAAACTTGGGCAATTTGTGGGAATAATAATAGTATATATCCAAAATGGTCATTGGGAGAATTGAAAGAGATTTTGCATATAAAGATTGCCTGTCATATAGTAAAGAGTTATTACACATTACCTCTTATAATTGTTTTTGATAACTTACCTCTTTGTCAGTGACTGTGACTCACAGAGATATAGCAAAAAAATCAAGGTTAATTAAATACAGGATTTATATATTTTCCTGTACAAACCATCTCTCACAATAGACCTCTCTTAAATAGGATAATAATGTTACCTTAACTAATGTCTCAGTGATTTTAGAAAGTTAGGCCATAAGTGAATTGAAAGTTGCCAAAATTTTTAATTTAATATCTCACTTTAACTCAGTTTTCTTCAAATTCTCCGTTTCGCTTTGTCTGACAATTCATTTCCACAGAGACTGCACAGTTACTGTAAATCATTTACTGCATTTGGTGTGCATAACAGTTTTGTTCATATCACTTTATTCCTCTTAAAAATAGCATTCTGCGACTTCCCTGGTGGTGCAGTGGTTAAGAATTGGCCTGCCAATGCAGGGAACATGGGTTCAATCCCTGGTCCGGGAAGATCCCACATGCTGTGGAGCAACTAAGCCCATGTGCCACAACTACTGAGCCTGCGTGCCACAACTACTGAAGCCCGTGTGCCTAGAGCCCGTGCTCCACAACAAGAGAAGCCACCGTAATGAGAAACCCATGCACCGCAACCAAGAGTAGCCCCTGCTTGCTGCAACTAGAGAAAGCCCGTGCGCAGCAATGAAGACCCAACACAGCCAAAAATAAATACATAAATACATAAATAAGTAAATAAATAAATAAATTCATTTAAAAAATAGCATTCTGCACTGTCATGATGCCCCTTCTAACTCTTCATTTTGCCAAAGGCAGTCAAAAAGCAAGATAATAGCAAATAACTCGTAAATACAGGAATTGTAAGGGGTGATACTGCTCTCTGTTCTCTGGGTGTAAGCAATTCTCTATTTACCAAAGAGTAAAACACAAATCCCAAAGTGTCTCTTATTTGGCATAGTATGTTATCAACCTATCTTATAAAAATACCTGCCTTGTTTTTAATAGGCTTTCAAAAACTCAATTTTAAAGCATCTTTCATTGTTTTTATCAAGTTTGGAATTTTTAAATAGTCTCAAGTTGACCTTCTTATTATCTTATGCTTTCTGAACATATTTATTTATGCTACTAGGTGCAATTCTGATTCTAGATTATGATGCAAAAACTGTCAAGATAAGAACAAAAGTGAATGTTAGTTTCAATCATACAGATAAATATATTCCACAGGAACTATTTTAACCTGAAGCAGCTGGCTGTTTCTGTCTTACCTATCAGAGTAATATTATATAGTTGTAGCTTAAATTTAGGGCACTTTGGGAAAATATATTTGATTATAGCCCATAACATTAATTCATGATAAATGGCCAGGGAATCAGAGAAAAGAAAATATAAATGAGATTTCAAGTTCTTATAACAGGAGATTTAAAAATTACTCTTGTATTAAAAGTACCAAATTATGCTATATGAACATATATGAAATAAAGAAATGACTTATTTAAAGTTTTCTTTGAAAAAATTTCCCCAAGCTTCCTGATCTTATGATTCTCAATCAAATGCATGAGACAACATGACACAAATCATAAATGAGTTGGTTTAAAGTACTATCTATGCATGGGGTGGAAAAAAATATCTCTTCTTTATTTTTCATGTCTCCATTCATCATTTGTGGGTCTTGGAATATAGCATTTCAGTATTTGGTCTTTTAACATTTGACTTTTAGCAGTAAGTAACTTTCTGATTCCCTATTCATCCTTGGCAGTAGGGATGACTCAGAACTGGGTTGGAACCCTGCTTCTCACTCAAAACACACACAGGCATACTTTAGTTTCATGACTGCTCTAGAAATTAGCCCAAAGAATATAGCAAGTTAATTTTTTAATTTGTTTTCATGAATATATGATTCCTGACAGTGAATTGAAGCAAAAACTAGTTCCCAAGCTGAAAATTCCAAACCAATTACTGACTACTTAAAGATATTTTGAGTCAAGCCAGAGCCCGTGGCTTGGAGACGAACTAAGTCTATGTACTGTCTTTCTCTTGTCTCTCAGTTGGCCACGCATATTCTCAAGTTCAGTCTGAAGGAAAGCTTATAAGAAAGGGGACAGGCATGGTCTTGGCCACAACCAGCAGGACAGCTGGACAAGAAGGAAGACAGCAGCTTACCTTTCAGCTCTTCCTCCAATATTGCTATTCAGCCTGAAAACTTCACTAACCAGGCCTTCTTAAAAGGAAATTATGATCAGTGAAAACATAGGTATATGCCCAAGCTAATGATGCAAGGTGCTAATTTGTCTCATTTGACAAAAAACATTCAAATATTACTGGATCTGTTTTGCTGAAATATTTTGCATATTTAAAACTTATTCCAAGTGCTTACATCAGCTAATTACCTCAATCTAATTAGGCTTCAAGTTTCCAGCTCACCCAAGCTTTTCCTAGATATTACTATTTTCCTTATACATAGAATAATATTTTATAGTCTGGGAAGTGAAATCAGACTCTGGCTCAACTGATGTCACAGATTTTCAGATGGGAAGAGTCCATGGGGTTCACTTTAAGTGTGTCCATTCCCTTAGGGTTCAACTGTTGTAATATTTTTCTCCTGGTACTTAACTCTTTTGGACACGCTCAGGCTTGCATTTTCTCAGAATTAAAAGATTTTTCCCTAGTTCCTTTTGGCCTACTTCATTACTTGGCTTCACTTCACATGTTCTCATTTTTGAACTTGTTATTCTTTTTGGACAAGGTCTTTGACATCCATCTTCTCTTTAACAATCAAAATGTTATATATCCTGGAATAACTCATACCATAATCTGCTCACATTCCTAACTTTTGCTACAAGAATTGCATGGCTGGACCAAGGGCATCACACAACCACTGTTTTATTTTTTTCTTTTCAAGTAACTGCAAGTCTAATTTTCCTAATATCTCACTAGAATATTTTTAGATTCCATCTCTTCATGCTGTCTTTTAAAAAATGTTCTCAGTGCCATTGCTTTTATTGTGAAACAATAATTGCCAAGCTCCATCTATAAAGCCATAGCTGTAAGTCGTAGCTTTTTCCAACAGCCTAAAAAGATGGAATAGATGCCTCTGGCCCCGAACTATTTGAATAAATTCAATAAGGTTCTGCTTTTCCTGATTTACCCAATTCCCAAGTATATGTACATGCTGTTCTTGTTAAATGATTTCTTATTTATTCAGGAATTTATTGTTTATTTAGTTGGCCAAAGGGGAGGGTGAAATGTAGAGCACTGGGACAAATGTTACTTTATCATATATCTGTATGTATAAAATATGAATTATAGCTTTTTATTTTGAAACAAGTTTAAAAACATATCAAATATTTGGCAAGCCACCCCAGGATCCTCACTTGCTATTGAACTACTCTAATGAAATCTCTTTCAAACAGAAAAAAGGCTCAGAAGATTCTTATTAGCCTCTACTATTAGTGTTTGCTAATTCTTCAGTTAGTGCCAAGGATTTAAAGAACAAAGTCTGGAGCGTCTTTCATGTGTTTCAACTGATACATTTTGGCACTACACCAAAGTACTTGATTTTCTGGGAACAATGAGGAATCATCAATGACTAATTTAGGAAGCTCATCCTAAGTTATGTGGAAGTAGCATCAGGATAATGGCAATAAGTGGTGTGTAGCCCGGCCATAGGGTTGCTTTGCATTCCTAAGGTTCAGAAGATGGTGAAGGAAGCTGGGGCAGGAGGGCTTGGAGGGTTCCCTTACTGCATGTTTTCTGTAAGGCCTGGCTGCTACACACTTTGAAGAGTCAAACTGGAGGGAGGGGCAGTTTGACCTAAATTGTATATTCAAGACAAATAGAGGCAAGCGGTTCATTATTTTATTGCTATTATTTCACTTCTTTCTTTCATCATCATTTCCTTTAATTCTCATTTCCAGGTGCCCAAATGATCACATTCCCATTCCCAAAGGTAAAATGGCTGTGGAGGTAGAAGACGGATGGTGTGGCGATTGAACCTGCAGCCAGACTGCCAGGTAATAGAATCCTAGCGTCCTCCCGCCGTAGGAGATCTTGAAGGGCGGTTCAAGTTCTCCCTAAGAGGGTGGTGTCCTAAGGCGAGCACCTGGCCTTTTCCCGGTCTTTGCTGTCAGTCATCATCCCGCCTCGCTTACACTCACCTGATTTCTGGATCGTGATTTGAGAAGCCGGGCTCTGTAGATACCTCACAGTGATTTCCTTCGGTTGCAGACACTTAGCTGATGATTTTGTAGTTGATTTGAAAGAACAGAAGTGCATCGATTTCAAACACGTTTACTGAAGAACGACTGAGTGTGGGACGATGATGATTCAGAGGAAAACCGAACAAAGATCCTGCTCTTCTGGAGGGAGCTTTCATTCTGCTGGAGTTGTGCTGTTTCTCAACACCCGCGCTGTGCCCATTACCAGCTCTGCCCAAGGACTGCTTGAATCTCACTGTTCAGGCAAACGGGCACACAGCTTTCCAAAGGACCACTGTAAGCTGGCCTCAGCTCTCCGCAGACAAAATTTGAAAGAACATAAATTGCAGAGCAGCGAAGGAGTGGGCAGGTTGGGAGTGGGGGGTTGGGGGGGAGGGAGGCCACTGGAAGTGGCGTCTATTCGTATCAATACGGCAGAGTCAGGGGACCTAGTCAGAGCCAGAAAACTTCAAGCCTAACAAACTCTGAGATCACAATCCCTCACCCTTCTCCTCCCCTCCGACGAGCCATCGCAGCGGGTGCACTGTCCCTGGGGTAGTTCGTGGGGGGACAAGGGGTTCGGAGAAAGTGGACTCCTCGTTCGCTTCCCCTTTTCCCCCATCCCTACCATGGGCTTTGCCCTGGAGCGCTTCGCCGAAGCGGTGGACCCGGATTTCCAGTGCAGGCTATGCGGCCAGGTGCTGGAGGAGCCCCTGTGCACGCCGTGCGGGCACGTCTTCTGCGCCCGCTGCCTGCTGCCCTGGGCGGCGCGGCGGCGCCGGTGCCCGCTGCAGTGCCAGCCCCTGGCGCCGGGCGATCTGTACCGGGTGCTGCCTCTGCGCAGCCTCGTCCAGAAGCTGCGCACCCAGTGCGACTACCGCGCCCGCGGCTGCGGCCACTCGGTCGGGCTGCGCGAGCTGGCGGCGCACGTCGAGCTCTGCGACTTCGGCCCTGCCCGCCGCCGCCGCCGGGGCTGCGTCTCCGGGCCGTGCGGCCGGGGCGGCGGGGACGCGTCCGCGCGGGGGGGCTGCGGCTCAGCGCCCGGGGTCCGCCGCGGCGGGACGCCGGGAGTCCGTGGCGGGAGCGGGCGGGCGCCAGGGCCTCAAGTCCTGGCCTGGAGGCGGCGCGAGAAGGCGCTGCTGGCGCAGCTCTGGGCGCTGCAGGAGGAGGTGCTGCTCACGGCCCGCAGGTACCAGAAGAAGTTCACCCAGTACATGGCTCACGTCCGCAACTTCGCCAGGGACCCGGGCGGCGGCCGCGGCCGGGTAAGCACTGAGGGGTCGGCACCCGGGGAACGGTTGATCGGGGTGGAAAGGGGAACGGTTCTTTCTGGCACTTCAGAATTCCTTCGCAAAGTGACATACTTCTTTATGTGGTAGGAAGAAGCATCCACCGCCCTGATCATCCTATACTATTAGTATTTTTCGAGTGTATTAGTATTGCAGTTTACAAGGATTGTCCCCTTTCCACTTATATTGGGATTGGAAAAGAGTTAAACAGATTAAATTCCAACTTTTCGTCGGAGAACGAGGAATTAGGAAAACTCCTTTTCCCACCCAGACCCTTGCTTCCCATCTTTCACTCTCCTGCCTACCCTCTCTGCGTATTTTTTGTACCTTCGGCCTCGGCCTGAAGCCAGTTAGAGAAGGAAAGCCAGGTAGCGAGGACCTCTCCTAACCTGCCTCCCCTCTCCCGCTGGCTAGCATCCCGGGACATGTCATTCCCACACCTTTGGCTCTGCATGACTTAGTTTCCCTACCAAACCACCCATATCAGCCACTTTGTACTCAGCACAGGGACTCAGGGATACGGGAAACCAGGATAACTTGGAGTTAAGAAATTAAGAGATGGAATTTCTTAGACCTGCAGGGTTCTTTTCATCACCCCGACCTTCCCTAAATAGTTCTTAAGTGCTTCCAGATTTCATTATTAGTGGAACGTGAGTGGGTGAGTGTGAGACTTGGGGAACCTAGTCTGAGAGCTCACATCTATCTGCGCTCAGACTAGCCGTGTGACCTCCCGGGATGTTTCCCTTCTTTGTCGAGGTTGCTGGCCCTGAACTGTGTTCATGGACTGCCGGCTTTCTGACGGAATAAACAAGCCTCTTTGCAGCGGCTCGTGACAAGAGGCTTGTTTATAAAGATGTTCCTTCTCTTCTGAAGGACTTCTGCACAGTGTTTGACATTGTTGGCCGCTGCCATGGTGAGCAGGGATTTAGCAGAACTTACACTCCGTTCAAGGAGCTGTTTTCATTCCCCAACCTCCTGGGGAGGAGCTACCCAGGGTGATGCCCATTTGGAACTGCTTTGCATAGCCTCCAACTCAGGCACCGAATTTAGAAGCTTCTGTCCTTGAACCTAAAAAGGATTATTGAAGTGTGAGAGGCTGAACTGTTTCTACTCTGATAAATGGAAGCACACACTTATTAAAAGTTTGGATGCTCTCTATGATTCTTTATCTCTCATATTTACATCCACATAAATTTACAAAAATGGGAGGACCAGGGAGAAGCATAGAAGTATGGTCTGTAATACCAGTTCAGGGTTCAAGGTCTTGGGGAAGCAATGGTTGGTGGAAAGGAGCAAGGCTAGATTATATGACAGAAAAGTCCATGCAACAAGTCGAGAAGTCAAGCTGTGGTTCTGAGAAGTGAGGCAAAACTGACCATGATCTGCAGACTGCTTACCAAAAGGCTTCTCCGTGCTGCTCAGTAATGTTTTCCCACTACCAGCAGGGGCTGCTGTGCACACTGCCTGGGAAAAGTTCCTGGGAAAAGGTGGTGATGATGGTAGCAGTGGTGATGATGTTTATGGAAATTTATCATTCTGAAGTAATTGCCAAATATGTAATTTCCTAGAATAGTTAATAATATGAATAACCATGAATAAAATTCATATAGCCTTGCACTATTTCATCTTATGTTTAAATTGGTCTTTTTTAACAAGCAGGTTTGTAGATATAATTCCTGTTTGTTTAACTGTTATTTGGCCATCAGGGAAGCAATACATACTGCTTTAGTTAGCATAAATCCTCTCTTTTTAAAATTCTGCAAAACCAAATAAAAATACCATTTAAAATTACGATTACTGTAACCTACAAAATCCTGTATTTCAGTAGCAATGTGAATATTACTGTTGAAATAAATTTATAAATAGCTCACTATTATTTACATCCCTTAAGATTTTCCAAAGTGAAATTATTACATAAAATATTTCTTAGATTCTTTAACAATTTATTTTACTCATCTGGAGGGATGAGCCCTACCATGGGCTAATGGAGGGAAAAAATAAGGATACCTGCATGGTCGAATCAGAAATCTGTTTAAGTTACAGTGGAATCAGAATCAGATGCTGAGTTAGGATAAAAGCTGCATGTATAAACATGCAAAGCCATTTAGTCATTTTTGAAAATAGTTATTTTTCTCACATGCATGGTTGTTCCTTCAAATACATACTTTCAAAGTAAATTCAGGAAGAAATTAACCTCCCAAATTCAGCCATCCTTAATTTTAAGATTTTAAGGTTTTCTCTTTTTCAAATCAATTTATTTACAGTTAAAAAACACCTTTATTGTAGCATTTTTTTTCTTTTATATTTTTTAACTAGTCAGTTATTTTATCCCTTTTCTTCTAGGATGGAGAGCATAAGCCATTCACTATTGTGTTAGAAAGAGAAAATGACACTTTGGGATTCAATATTATAGGAGGTCGACCAAATCAGGTAACCCACCCTGTTAATGCATAACTCACTCTTTGCTTAAAATAATAGAAGACTTAGCTTTCATTTGTGGATTTTAAGTAAAAAAAACAAACAAAAAAAAAGAAGGTTTAATCTTTAAAATAGTGCTTGTCATCAAAATGCAAATGTTCCAGTATAAATATTCCAGAACAAACCGAGAATTTTTTTGAGAAAAATAAAACAACAGCTAACAAACTTTGCTACTTAAAAAAAAAAAAGAGTACATTTCACATTTTACCTACATCATACAGCCCTGTTGGCAAATTTCTTAAATAAACCTATTTCACAATAACACATATAGGCAATTTCTACTTGATAATCTTAGACAGGTATATTGCTTGCTTGTACCTCTTATTTATTATGTCAAATTGGTCAGTTTTCAGATGCTAACACAGACCAGGCAGTTTATAAAATATCTTGAATGAATGAATGAAGAGTTAAAATAAGTTGAAATGAGGGATAATTGTTTTCACAATTACATAGGTAATACCATGTCTAAAAAAGATAGTTGATTTGATATATTTTTGGCTCCCCAAATCACATTTTTTATAAAATTGAATGAATAATTTTTTCTACATTGATGCCAATTGTTTTCAAAATGCATGAGTTAATAAACTTATACCAAATACTGTAGTTGCAATGTTCTTTCATATCCTTCAAATAGTACATCAACTTAATTTTCATCCTAACTAGGAAAGGTAGTGAAGTTTTTAAAAAATCATGTTCTTTCATTTTCCAATCAGCTGCCATGAAAGTTTTGCATCCTGCATTGCAGACGTTGGCCACAGAAACTGTCTGAGCATTGTTGGACATATGCTGTGTTCAGGCCAGGATGGCAATGACATATTTCCTCTTTGTATTCAGCATTTCGAAAACCTAGCAACTAATGACTGCTGTATTCTGTTTCTAGAACAGTTGCCATTTATTATGAAAAGATAAAAGTCTTTTCAGCATATCATTTTTGTTTTCTTTTCCCCTAAGGAATATTTTTATAAATGCTGGTAGGGTGTTTGACATTTAGATGACACTAGACACTTTTAAGAGCCTCTTACAATTCATGTTAAAGAAGGCTGATTAAGGAGAAATAATTTTGTTTAACTTGCTATAAAGCGAAATGACATTTAAAATTATACGGTGTATTATTATAGAATGTTGGACATTTTCCCTAAATAAGTTTTGCAGGGTAATTGGTTTTCTGTGACTTGCTAAAATGTCCTATATGTATGATATTGGCTATGTGTTTGAGGTTTAATTAATCATTAGTCTCATTGTACCTGGAACTGTGTAAAGATTAGTTTTGAATGGGTTCTCCTACAATTTGGAGTTGATCTTTTGGGATTTTATACTTGAGTAAGCTCCTAGTCTCCCCTGTGAATAGATACAGTCAGAGCTATATTTCCAAATCTGTCACATCATGAGGCTAAATTATATTTTCAGAACTATGACCACATTTCAAACCAATTATATAGTTAGGCTGGATATGCTTTTTGTTTTCTTTAACTTATAACCCTTTTTAATTGCTATACCTCTTTATACATGAGACATTTTATAAATAGTACTTAGAAGCCCATTGTTATCATTGTTCATGCCCTTTCCCCATAGCTTTTATGTATACTGAAAAACATGAGGTAACTAGATAATCTTGTCAAAGATGTTCATTCATTAAAGCTGCCATCTTGATTAATGACTATTTGGTGTTAAGTAAGTTAAAATTCAGTACCAATTCTCCAGCTAAGAAAGAAAATTGCATGTTTAGAGAGGCTTGTCAATGTTACATTTACTAAATTGTTTTTTATCCAACTTAAAATTTTGTTTACATCTTTCTTACTGCTAACGATTTTATTTTTTAAAGGATAATCAAGAAGAAACACCAATGGAAGGAATTTATGTTTCAAAGATTTTGGAAAATGGACCTGCTGATAGAGCAGATGGCTTGGAGATTCATGACAAAATCATTGAGGTAAGACAATAATAAACCACAAATAGGATCTGTGGAAGAAATATTTGGACATTTAAAATTTCCAAACTTATTGCTTTTCCTTGGTGTGGTACTTATTAGAGTGTATATCTATCTAGAGTATATAACTAGCCTGTTTTAATTATTAGATATTGGAATAGAAGAATGAATCACCCAAAATTTCCAAATGTGTTAATGAATATCTCCATTTTAATAAATTGCTTTTCCCCATGAATTATAAAGATAATTGTGTGATTATTAAGGGACTGATTTGTTATAACATCTCAAAAAAGGATGGT